TGCACAATTGCGAAATCAATTAAGTTAATCAACAAGGATGACGCAACAAAATTATCAAGAATATGTGATACAATTACAAGAAAACGTGGGATTGGAAGTTTGAAAAGCATCTCATATGAGATTTGCAGGAAAACTGCTCGTGCATCCTTACATATAAGTGTAACATTTGATACATTATTAAATTTTTTACACGGGTTTTATTATACACTTTTATTTGACATTTTTACAACATAAATTACATAATTTCGCTCAACATAAAAAAAAAAATAAACTTAATCTTAATTAAATCATAAATTTTTAACTTACAGCATAAACTTAAGCTTAAAAAATTATTCGGATTTAACAACTTGAAAAACCTCATAATCTTCAAGATCGAGATGAGATTCCTCCTTAATAAATTTATTAATTCCATTATAGGAAAGGGAACCGTAAGAGACGATCTGATTGTTGATAATACCTAAATCACAACCACCACCAAAGCAAGGACCGCTGGTGGGACTATAATAGATGGCCTTTTGAGGGTTGGAAACCCTGATTAACTTTGAGATTTTTACAACGGGATTTCCACCTTTAGCAGCGGACTTGTCCTTCCTTTCACCTTTACCGAAACAGAATAAAAAGCTATTCTCGGTTTGATACATACTATTACCGTTAACACTATCATATTTGGGTTTCCAATCTAGGGGATTATAACCACCGATCAACAAATTCTTTTTGAAGATTTTCGTGATCGTGATGGTCGGACCCTTATTATCGCATAATTCGTGAAACCTCTTTGCATCGAAACCATCACGACTTGCCCTATAAAGTAATTTAAACTTGTATGGTACCTTTTTCATGGGTCTCACATCACATGAATAATAATTCTTCTTTTCCTTATCGATCCAACTCGCTATAGAAGAAACCTTTTTTGGAGTTATCAAAAGGGAATTTAAAGGAAACCTCGGTGGTAATGATTCGATGTAATTAATTAAAGGAAATTCGTTTAGGAGGGTTGATTCGGAAGTTGTGGAAATGGTTCGATGAGCATTAAAGATCTCTCGACAAAAATCTTTTGGCAAGATGTTCGAATAAGGAGCTACCTTATTCATGATATCATTCATAGAGATATCCAACCACCTGATTAGCGGAATGAAATCACTCAAAATTTCTTTCAAGATGTTCGTTTCTTCTCTCGTCCAATTATTAATCGTTTTCAGGATAAAGTGAGATGAAGGCATTTGAGCGATACCCCATTTTAAAACATGATTCCAAATTTGTACCTCATCTTGAACATCAAGAAAATCTTGTTTTAAGATTGATATCAAGATGGATTTGTCCAGCAATAAGAATTCCGAAGAATTAAATAAATATTTCACGGGGTCTTCACAAATGATTTCAATACAGTAATTTTTTAATGAGGAGAAGATTTCATTCTCATGACAAGATAAGGTTTGAAGGAATTTTAATGGGTTACGACGTAAATGAAATGACTGATTTTCAATAAGATAATGTAAAGCGTGTTGGATTAATGTCGTTAATTCTAATTCGTCAGACATCATTAATATTTGTAAAATATCAGACGTATCCTGATCTTTTAATTCGATTCTTCCTGTATAAAAGTATTTTAAAAGGATCTTAAATATTTTCGGTGAAAAATTTTGTTTATCAAAAACAATTATTCCACTTTCATTGGGAACGTTTTCACCATTTGTTGAGACCTTTTGAAAGTAAGGACATCTTGCATTTAAAATGAGGGAATGCGCCTTAAACTCTTTTTGAGACGTTCCTACCCCGGCTCGAATGATGACATCATGCGAATTGTGAGTACTTTCAAGTAACCTTCCGATATCTCTAGAAAAATCTTTTAACATTTGCATATTTTGTGAACTTTAAAGACAGAGGAGAGGGAATTATGATTAGATTAAATGAATATATGAATTTTAGTTCTTAATGGGTTAAAATATTATTTTGTGTAATGAATGTTTCTTTAATATTAAAAATTAAAAATTAAAAATAAAAATTGATTAAAAGAAAGAGAATGAAAAAGAAGGATGTTTATAATATTGGCTTATTTAAAAAAAATAAAACCATACGTCAGAAACTAATTTTTTGATGTGAACAATATAATAATCCCGCCATTTAATCGCCTATTTTTCTTTTCTCATCCAAAATTGATCTAGAAACTCTCATTGTTGTCGACGAAACGCTTAATGATGTAATAGTATGACCCCAGGATTTTGAAGTGATGCAAGAATTATATGTAACTATTTTTTTTTTTATTTTAAAAATAAATGCAATTGTTACGGAAATGTAAAGTGTCTTGAAAGTGGCGCGGCCGAGGCTTGAACATTTGTATGCATGTAATGTTTGACAAATTATGAAGATCGGCTAATTGGATGTACATTAAAGGCGAATTAATTAGCGAGTTGAGTTTGCCCAAGAATGGGATGTGGCTTGATTACTATCCGTTTATATTATTGAAAACAATTTGTCGTATCACTCATCATGCATGAGTAAGTAAAAATGAAGAAACAATGTATGATCTCATGTTTCTTTCTCCTGATGATATTCAACATCCGTTTTATCATGTTTCGGGGAATAAATCGGGAACGATTCGATCATCACCAAAAGAGGGAAATTTTCGATCCTGATTATAACAATGAAATTATTTATTTTGAAGCACTTTTTAACTGTTAAAAAAAACAGCTGCATAATTATATGCTAATAATTACACCTCCCCAAAAAAAATTAATTTAATAAATTCATAATCGTATCAAAGTATCACATTGTTTATTTTTTATCTTTGTATTTGTTTGTTACCTTATTATGGTTAGCTTGTCATTACAAAAAAATTGTCACGATACCAATCGGAGTTTTCTGCGCCTTCGTTTCATTCTTCGCAACCTCATTGGAGCAATGTCACATTTAAAGGTTTACTACCATTTTTGGTAGGTATATCGTTTATAACAAATAATCTTCGGTTATTTGAGAGATATGTATATTTATTTTATCTTTTCTTCGGAAGATACCATCCTCAAACGAAGGATGTCTCCGTATAAATTTGTAATTCTACAAAAACAGGTGTTTGTGCGACCGTGAAACGAAAATGTGTCGTCTTTTTTGGAATATTATAAAATTAAAAATAAATAAATGATTCCAAAAGTTAGTTTGATATTAACATCAGTTTTTGCCTCAAAAAGGAATCTCAAAATATTCAAAACCAATCCACATGGCATAACAAAACAAATATATATTTTTTTCCAGTAACACTTTTTAAACAGTTTGAATCGTTTTCTTTTTTTTTGATATCAATCAAATCAATCTCGCTTCTTCATTAATTTCATTAGTAGGAACTACTTTTTTACAACAAAAACAATCCTTCCTATTATTATTGTATTTCCTAATCTTACAATTTCGTGTTACGGTTAATGTTTAATGTTTGCTTATTTAAATGAGCGACAAAAAAAATTGGACATTAAAACGATCAACACTTTTTATGTTGTTATGCATTGTTTGTACTACAAGTTTAATTTACTAATAAAATTAAAAGTAGTTATTTTCCTTCTTTTTTATTATTTATTCTGAAATAAAAGTTGATTTTTTTTTTAAAAAAAAAAAAAAGTTCCTCAGAGCGTCTTTGTAGGTAAAATAATATAACGAACGTTCATAACGTTCTAAACGATCATTAAAAAACCAAAAGAAAATAGAAACCTAAAGAATCACATTTAGGTAAGTAAAACGATCGCTTCACATAGCTTCACATGGTTACCAACCATTGGAAAATTCTTCATAAAGTTACTCAAAAAAAGGTTCCAGATGGATCCTTCTACGAAATTTTTCATTCATTCTCATTTAAGAGATAAATATCTTTTTATTTTCATTTCATGTTTCCTTCATTTTATTCTTTATTTATTTAGTTTTTTTACCTAAATAATTTCTAGCAATAGTTTAAATATTCCTCAAAAAAAATACGTGCATGAATAGCAGATACTTATATATGCTCACATACGCCTAAAAAATGATTTTATTGTTCATTTATAGTTCAAATTGAAATATTATTGTTTTCTTTTATAGGTCTCTTCTAATACTTTTATTCATTTATTCAAATTTATTTTTATAAGACGGAAAGGCGTTTACTTGTTTCCCGTGAGCGTTCGAAAAAAGGATCTTCACTGTGATTAATAAGCCGCAGTTAATGAAATTCTGTAAGTTATTTACGTAAATGTTTAATAAGTGTTGAAAAAAAGTGAAAATGAATCAAGAAGGAAAAAGAAAATAAAGTAAAGATTAATATTTGGTGATAGAATAAAAAAGACCAAAATAATACAACAACGCTTGAAAAACCTTTTTTTTCCGGTAAATCTATTTATAAATGAACAGGAAACATTCCTTTCCTCCTTTCTTCCTTTCTTCCTTTTTTTTTGAGGAGACATTTTTATTTTATTTTAAATTTTTTTTTTAAAAAAAAAATAAAATAAATAAAAATAAAACGACAAGAACTTTAATATTAATCCTCCATTATAGAACTGCAAATCACGTGGATCACTTCTCGTTCTCCTAATGAATTCAAAAAATATCATTGCATTTAGAATATAAAGTAGATAACATGGAACTTTGGAAGAAATTCTTACATAAATATAATAGAAAAATATTACCTATAGGTAAATTATTAATAATAAATTATAAAGTGTAAAAAAGTCGTTAAATTCATTTGTTTATTCGTTTAATAGATCCAATTATATCTAAAGAATATAAAAGAAGATACGGAATAAAGAAACGAAAAATAAGCAAAAGAGATAAACCCTTCATTGAAAGAAAGGAGAAAGAAAAAAATGAAATTGAAAAAGCAAATGAAAAGGGGAAAGGAGAAGAAAAAAAAATCGTAAACGAGGATGCTGATCAACCGAAGACAAAATTATCCGAAACTACTTCTGTTTTAAATAATGAAAAAATTGAACCCACCGCCACTCAACCAACAGAAAGTCTAAAATCAGAGCGATCAAGTTCAATCGATAATATTACATCTCCACCAACAAATCAAGGTATTTTCCTTCTCCAACATGTACTGTCGTAATTCCAACACAAGAATCTCCTACTGACAATAGTGAAAATATTCCATCTCTAAAAAATGAAGCAACTCCAACACAAAATTCTACACCTTCCGATGTTGCAAAGGATACCGAAAATGGCGTGAAGAACCCTTCTATCCCATCCCAACCGAAACAGCCTCCGGAACAAAATAATCCTTCTGTAATCCCGAATAATCCGGTGCTTCCTCCAATCAATTCACCTCCAATTATTAATCCTCCAAATCCCAAAACAGATGAAATTCCTAATAATGATCACGTTAAGGAAATTTCACCAGGAAAAAACAACAACAATAATGACAATGACAACAAAGACGACACCCGTTCCAATGACGCTAACAAGGATAAAAATGTCAATGTTAACAATAATCAAAATGATACCAATAGTAACAATGACAATAATAATGATAACAATGACAATAACGATGGTAATCTACCAAATTCATTAACATTAAATTCATCCCCAACTATAAAATTTACTACCATCTCTCCAACTAACACTTCAAATCCAAATGATATATTTAATCCAAATAATCCAGTTTCAAAACCTGCAATAGTAGGAATGATATTCGCAATAATTTTAGCATTGATTGTTCTTGTAATTATATTAAGAAAAGTTAGCTTCAAAAAGAATTATCTTAGATCACGGAATATTCATCAACGATTATTAGATAATGATGAGGATAATAACTATTATAATGATGTTAATGATAGAAGTATTTCAGAAAATACTCAAAAGAATAATTCTTTTTTTGTTTTAAACAAACCACAAAGGACAATAAGTAAAGATTACTCAAATAGATTTGAAGATATTATTAATGTTAATCATGTTACTAATGGCTTATCAAGATATAAAGTAAATAATATTTATAGCAAAAATCCAGTTATAAAGCATGATAGTATTGATAGTAGTTTAAATATGAGTGTAGATATTCCTTTTCCTCCTAAAATAGTTAATTGGGAAGAATGTATGAGATAATTCTAATAAAAAAATGTTAATAATTCTTGTAAATTACTATAAATCTGACTAAAAATTTTTTATTTTTAATAAATTAAAGATCCAAATAATTCAGATTTAGATTCTAAAAAAAACCAATCTGAATTAAGTAATATCTATATTAAAACTAAGTTTAAATTATTTTAATGAAATTTATATTTCCTTTAATTAAATATTATTTTTAATCAAATGATTATACTAAACTTATTATTTAATTAAAATAAAATTAAAATGAATTATATAATCTAAATCATTTTGAATTATACTAAAATAATTTAAAATTAAAAAGAATTAAAATTCAAAATATAATCATAATATTATTTTAATAAAATCAAAACTTTTTTAATAATTTTTACAATTTTGATAAATTTAAATTAAATGTAATAAATTTGAATAGATTTAATTAAATTTAATAATTTTATAATTTTTGATTTTTAATTTTATTTAATATTATTAATTTTATAGGTTTAATCAAATTATATTATATTACAAAAATTTTTTAATAAATAAAGTAATATTATTTATTTACTATTTTATTTTACTTTTTTTTTGTATTTAAAAAATATCATTATAAAATTTTATTATATAATTATAAAAAAAATATAGTATAAAAATAATTTCTATAATTATATTTGAATTACATAATGTTTGATTTTTAGGATTTCGAGTTTAAAAATATTTGAAGTTATCTATTTATTTATAAAAAAAATCTTAACTAAACTTCAAATATGTTTTTTTAATAAATGTTTAATAAATTTTTAGATTTAAGAAAAAGTAATTTTAAAAGGTTTTAAAAAATGTTTTATAATTATAAATTATATATTAAAATAGATTTTAAGTAATATTTTTTAATTGTATATAAAATATTAATTATATATTGAAAATTTGTAATAATTTTAGATTTTATAAATACTAAATATTTAAAAATAAAAAAATTAATAAATTAAAATAAATTAAAAAATAAATGATAATATAAATTATAAATTACAAATAGCAATCATATAAAAAAATCAATAAGCTTTTTAATAAAATTGATATAAAAAAAACTTGTTTTATTATTTTATTAAAAAACAAGATATATTAGTTTTAATATCTAATAATATATTTTTAAAATAAGACTATCAAATAATATATATATTATTTAAGTTATTATTTATATAAAAAAAAACTATCAAATAATATATATATTATTTAAGTTATTATTTATATAAAAAAAAACTATCCCTTCAATGGTATTCCTTCCAAATTTAGAAGAAATTTTACTTACACTTTAAAGTTAATTTTAAGTATATTAAAAATTAATTATTAAGCTAATAATATTATTATAATAAAATTTATAATGTTTTTTAAGTAAAATCAAAATAAAA